ATACCGATTGCTATCTCACCTAAAAAAAAAGGTGTTAAATTGACGATTAAAGCTTTGAGTTGCCTATGCTTATTCATTGCAACGAAAATATATAAAGTTTACGCCGATTTTTTTCATATTTTCGAGAGTTTATTTTATTGTTTTAAACCAGCGCAAATATAGATATATTGATTATTGAATAATTAGATGCAGGAAAAAAATCATTTTCGGTATCTGGATGATAATAAAGGGTAACAATGTCCTTAATGCTCTGCTACTGAGTGTACGACTAAAAATATTCCTGTATGTAACTAACATTATGACTAGTCTATAACGCAAAGCTGTACACTATCATGTGAACCTTGAATATTATTGACCATATTTGTAGTATTATTGTTTTCCCCAATTTACAAGTCACTGTTGCATAAACATTGGTATTTTTGTACACAAAAATGGTGATTTGGGGGCGATGTTTTACCTCAAAATGACCAAAAAATTCCTCTTTTACCCAAAATGAAATGACCAAACAAAAGTGATTTATCTATTTTGCTCTTATTGATCATAACAAGCCATATTTGAACTAATATTTAAAGATTTAAATGAGAAATCTGTGATTTGATGGGGAGTTTGGTGGCCATTTTGAAAAATCGCTTGATACCAATATCAGATGTAATCTGAAACAAAAAATAATAATAATTAGATTTGTATTCAGCAGCCAAAATGGCCACAGAATCCACTTGTTTGAAATGAAATTTCCAGAAAAAGGTTTCATTTACCCACCTTTACTAGTACCAGTATGCATTTAGTTGCCGTCACCAATGGTAACTTTCCAGAAAACACTATAACTCGAAGTACAACGAAGTTACATGAGTGCTCCGTTTAATACAAAAACTACTTATACGTTTGTGTATATACAGTATGGTTATGCACTGAAAACCCTGACCCAGAGCATTTTACAGAATGCTGTATAAACACTATTTTTGTAATTGTCTCATTTTAATTATCCGATGTTTCATGTAAGTTGACATTTTCACTTTTCATTACCTGTAAAACAATTTTACAACTATTCTTAACAGCTATAATCATTCGAAGTAAGTCCCTTGTCCTATTTATGATAACCATACGTTTCTTGTAAGTTAAGTTGTAGACATTCCCTTTACCGTTCGCACAACATAGATAAAGATTAACATTTCAAATATTTTCAAAATATTTTACATCTAGAACTAACGAAAAGAGAATACTTTGCCAGACAGAGATTTGGTTTTAAAATAAAAAGAAACATATATCGTAACAAAAATATATGACTTGAATTCAAAGAAAGCCATAGAAATATTCATTATTTTACTTAAAAGTTAAATAAAACATTATTTTGTAAGTGCGACCCACGTCACTTAAATGATGAAAAAAAAACATTCATAATTCGGTAACTTATACATTATATAAAAAGGAAAACCTTAAAATCATTTGATAAAAAGTTCAAAAAGTTCACAGTAATCTTTCTCCATATTTTAAAGTCCTACCTTAATACTCACTAATCGACATGGATAGATTAATTTACATCTAATTATTTACTTTTAAAAAACTTTTGGTAAGACAAGGCCACGGTACTTTTTATCTTTAGTTTTAGAACAGACACGAAATAATTAGTCAAACATAAAAAAAACATAACAAGCAGTCTGGTATATAAAATCACATTTAAGTCTATCTGCGCCAGATGAATTAACGTTGGAGTGCGGTGTAAGTATTGTCAGTGCCCGGGTATGGGGGAGGGGGTGCATCATCACCGGCTCCTTTCGCGGCATCCAGTGGTGGTGCATCTGCATTGGGTGGCGATCCTTGTCCAAATGGGTTATTGGGAGGTGGAATTCCAGGCCCAAACCCTGTGTTTGGCGGCTGTGGTGGTGAAATTCCTGGCCCAAACTCTGTGTTTGGCGGCTGCGGTGGGGGAATTTCTGGCCCATACCCTGGATACGGTGGTGGTGGGCCGTAACCGACTGGGTGACCTTGCGTTGTTGGCGGCGTATTCAACATTACTATGCCGTTACCCGGGGGCCTGGTCACTGTAAAGAAATTTACAGCATCCACTGTAGTAAACAGTAATTGACATCCGTTTTGTGACAGTACTTTAGGTTCTGATAAACGCATTAGAACTCACGAATTAGTACGGCCATGGATACTACCGATACACTGTACATGTAGTAGTTCAAGATGCAATTATGTCTCGTTTACAACTCTTTCCTCTTTGTTGCTCTTTACACAGTATAGCATACAATGTCACAAAAACGGCAAAACAGTGTTTGATTTCAGCATGCCATGATACAGCAGCCTACTGTAGAACTTGACCTCCTTTTCTAGGACCACATGTTAACCACGTTTAGCAACCCACTGCGTCTGGTCATACTCCATCATGTACTTTAAGAATATCCCCAATACTTCTTCTGTTCT